TAACATTTTATAAAGATAATAATTAAGTATTCTGTTAGAACTCAATGATTATCCTAATTATATTTTAGATTTTTTATATTTAAAATGAGATGTTTATCTTGTATTTGATTGTGTTTATTTGCAGTTAGTTACACGAATTCAGATATGGGATGAAATCGGATATGGATGAAATCGTTTAGGGATGAACAAGTTTAAGAGTTTTTAAGAGTTTTAAGAGTTTTTAAGAGTTTTAGCCAAATGCTTTATAAGATAGTATAGATTACTTAAAATTCAAGATTAAAAGTAATTTTACGTAAGTACAACTTATTAAAGCATCAATTCTAAATTTGTGTAACTAACTGCAGATAAACATAATTAAATACAAGATAAACATCCATTTTAAACATATAAAATCTAAAATATAATTAAGATAACCATTAAGTTCTAACAGAATATGTTTAATTATTATCTTTATAAAAAATTATATTATTAAACCAAAAATAAATTATTTTGTTATTAAATTTAAATTAAATTATAATAAAAATTTTAACTAAAGAAGTTACATCAAAAAACGGGAACTATTAAATGGTTAATTTGATACCAATATCGATTCATATTTTTTAAAATTTTATGCTATCTTCAAATTTATATTTCATTCAAAAATAAAAACATTATCACGTTCTCAAAACCACATAAAATCGTATTATATCGATAAAGAAAAAAATAAAAACTAAACATTAAAATCGAGATTTATATCGCTGCATTGCACGAACACCAAATCCGAGTATCATACACATATGTAGCGGGATCATACTGGAAGCGAATCAATTTACGAGAAGATTATAAGTTTCAAGACCACATGTGATAAAGTAGGTCCAAAAGAATGGTGACTTGGGCACCACGACCAAGGTTTTGGAAAAAAGCGTCTGCTTTATAGGGTATCAACATAATATGTTTGTATCACATGTGATTATATATTTGTATCACATGAGATTTCATGTGACTTGGAAGTTCCCAAATAATTAAACCCACACACACACATATACATATATATATATATATATATATATGACTAGGTTCAAGGGAAAACTGTAAAAACCAAAAAAACGACTTTAATTACTTGTATGCACGTATGCATACCGTCCAAATGAATGATTACCAGAGTATTCTCCAAATTTTCATTTTTAGGGTTTTTTTACTGATCCTCCACATATATATATATATATATATATAGAGAGAGAGAGAGAGAGAGAGGAGCGTTCAAATAAAAACCGCCTCCATTTGTGTAAACCGTGTAACCCAATCTCACCTATCCATTTTATTGATCAATGGTTAAGATTAATCAAGGTTATTTAAGGAAATTAAAAATAAAAAAATTGAAAATATATTTTATAATACCGGTAAGGGCAAAAGGGTAAAACCAAATATTCATTTATTCAAGGAAACCATATCATGTAAATCATATTATTAATGAAATTAATCTACTTTTTGTAAAGTAATTTATTATTTTTACGTTAACATTTATTACTATTAATGAAACTAATTTATTTTCTATCTTGCAATTATTTCATGACGAACCGCCTACATTATGTACCCGTTTCATTTTTCATTTCATCTACTGAATGGATCACCTACACCATCACTGAAACGGGTTTCACCATGAAAGCAGTTCACCACTTATTGTTCAATTACGCCATGAACCATTTTCACCTTCATGAAACATGTTTCATGTAAATTAATTATTTTATTTCACTCATGATTTGATGCATTTTTTTTCCTTTACTCCTTACAATCTTCAAGATTCTGGAGCAGATTACAATCTTCAAGATCCCGAAGCAGATTCATCATGCAATTATTTCATGACGAACCAAATAAATTATGCACTTGTTTCATGTTCCATTTTTTCTACTAAACGGATCAACTACACCATCACTGAAACATGGTTCACCATGAAATAATTTCATATTATTCATGAATCAATTACAACATGACCCGGTTTCACCTTCATGAAATATGTTTCATGTAAATTAATTTTTATTATTTCACTCATTATTTGATGCATTATTTCCTTTAATCCTTACAATCTTCAAGATCCCGAAGCAGATTCATCATGTACCCGTTTCATCATGCAATTATTTCATGACGAACCAAATAAATTATGCATCTGTTTCATGTTCCATTTTTTCTACTAAACGGATCAACTATATCATCACTGAAACATGGTTCACCATGAAACGATTTCATATTACTCATGAATCAATTACAACATGAACCAGTTTCACCTTCATGAAACATATTTCATTAACATTATTTTTTTAATTTGAACCATAATTTACGATTTCATTTCATAATGCAATTCAATCTTCAAGACCCATTTGCAGATTCAATCTCATAACAATATATCAAATTCAAATTTTTAATATTATAATATAATTAAATATTTAAATGTTACCATTTATACAATTTTCTTTATTACGTTTCCTTAATTAAGATTTATTAATAACTTTCATATTTAATAGAAAATATTGTAAATGACCGAAATACCTGATTAAATTTAATTAGAAAAAAATGGAATTTTTCTACTGGTCGAAATTGGTTTATACGGTTTCTTAGAAATGCACGGTTTTCATTTGAACGTGCCCCTATATATATATATATATATATATAGAGAGAGAGAGAGAGAGAGAGGTTGGTTATTATACTATCCTTGATATTTGTGCAACCAGTACAACCTATTCTTAACCGTCCATTTTATTTGATTAATATGTGATTTCATAGAAGTTTTAATTGTTTCCTAATATAAAGTATTGATCATAATTAATGAACCATATTCATCTTCCATAAATATTCAAATCATAATAAATAAACTCTCATCATTTCCATAAATATCTCAATTTATTGAATTGCATTGGTTGTACAAATACGATGAGTTGTATTTAAAATAAACTCTCTCTCTATATATAATATAATGTTATAAACTTATTAATAAGACCATCCAAATTTGTGTGAAGATTTTTAGTTATAATATTTTCGTTTTATAGTCACCATTTACATATTTAAGATTATAAATAACTTTTAAAGCAGTATCGAATGTCACATCAACAACTACTTTATTTATATAATTTAAAAATATAAGAAACAAAATTTATTTATTTAAATTTAATAGAAATTGTTTGCTAGGGAAATTACCTAAAATGCTTATTTATACATTGTAAATTAACAAAATGATCATTTTTAGACAATTTTCACAAAATGATCATAAAAAATCGTTCTTGGAGGGCGATTTACTTTAATAGGAACATTTCATGATTTGAGGTACGGATGAGTTCTACATGTATACCATTTTGGGAGGATGGGGGGATCTGATTTTTTCCACACTTTAATCAAAATTGCCCCACACTATTGAAAATCACCCCCGGGGGCGATTTTGACCCTTGTTATTTCATGTAGTGGATACATTCTATGATGCAACTTTTTGGTTTTGACAACTCAATGACGACGTGACTAGACGTAGGAGACGATTTTCATCTGTATTTGGTCTTTTTAGGACCAAATGTAGCATATATAATTGTAGTAATCCAAACATGAAAATGTAGCAATCCAAACACTTCTACTCTCACAATCCTTAACCCTTAAACACAATCTACCATTATAACTATTAATCCTTAAACACAATCTACCATTATAACTTTAACCCTTAAATATAATCTACCATCACAACCCTTAACACAAATATAAAATCACGTGAAAATGATAATGGTTCGGTGTATGTTTAAAGCGGCTGTTCGTTCCAGATGATAGATGGTGTTATAGAGTATATGTCGTTAGGAGCGCCCAAATGTATTTTACCTTGCCTTCGCCAATAACACATTCTGGTTTGATTAAGCGTGTTGCAAAAAAGTTAAGTTTATGTAGTCGTTTTAGGTTATTTTATAAAAATCCTGTTGAGTTGTGAGTTATGTAAGCTAGGTGACGACGAGGAAGTGGTGATGTTCCAAAACGTCGTTCATCAAAATTTATCACAAATTTTGACACTCTTTGTTGTCGACAGTGGTGGTGGTGGTGGTGATGGTGGAGATCTATCAAGTGTCGTAATCCATCAACCAAGTATGTTTTTCCCGGTAGTGGTGCAAACCTTTACGATCCTTCTGGAATCAATCAAACATGTATTTTTTACCCCAGTGGTAATGGTGGAAATCCTTACGATTTTACCGGAATCAATCAATCAGGTTATTTATTCCCTGGTGGTAGTGGAGGAAATCCATATCTTGCTATTGGAATAAATCAACCAAATACTTTATTCCTCGGCGGTAATGGTGGAAATCCATATTTTGCTGCCATAATCAATCAAACCGGTAGTTTTTTTTTTTCTGGTTGTAGTGGCGCTCATACCTACAATTTTGTCGGAATCAATCAACATGGTGTTTGTCGTAATGCATGAACCTAATAATTTCGTTCATGTGTCGAAGACGTTGATAGCAAAGCAACGGTATCAAACCCAACCGACTGAGGTTTTTGAACCAATAAATTATTTTGATCATGATAGTTTTTTGGTTCAAGATTTGAACCATCTCCGAACCAGTCCCTAGACCAGTCTCTAAAATAGTCAACACTATGGGAGGTAAATAAAGATGAAGACGTTTATGTTGCAGCAGAAATTTTGAATATACCCGAAGATGATAACTCATATGATGAAAAAGTTCATCCTGTAAGGAATAATTTTTGGGATAGGTCTAACCCAACACCTTGTCCTGCCCCGGCTATCAAACCCAGAAGAAACCTTTTTTACCAGCCTACATCACATGTAAAAGTTCTGCAAACCTTTTGACTAGAAGGAAACATTGAAGTTGGTTTTGGGATTAAAACGCGTTTATGTTTACTTTTAGATAAAGGTTAACAAATCATCCAAATACCGCAACGAGGCAATATGTCACTCCTCAAGACTATGATCGACATTTAATGACGATTTCTATCGATTGTACAAGTATGTTCCAGGTTCGGAAATTGCATGATGAACACATTTGTTTAGGGACTTCATCGTTCAAAATATGAAAGATCATTGACTTTTTCCATTATTTTACTACATTAATCAGTTTTATAGGTCATAAGAGCGTATCTGACAAGTTTTAAAAAGTCTAAGGAGTTAGTTAACAAGTTTTGAAATGTTCAAGAACTTATTTGTTTTTTTGAATCTAAGTTATTTCGTGAAATATTCAAAACGAATTGTCATTTTCTATAATTTTAATCCGAAATAATGGCGATCCAATTAACAAAGTTTATGTATCCACCATTGAATTGATTCTATGATATGATCGTGATTTAGTACTTCACACTTTTTTAAACAAACAAGCACATCAAAACAACGATTCATAAAAAAGACTCAACCAATTTTGTCTTCACCAAAAAAATTGTTCTATCGTCTAAAGTGTGTATACTTTTTTTTATTAACCTGGATATCCAACCCGCTATGCGAGCTGACTAATCCCAGAACGACCACATGCTTTGTAGATAGCTTGGAGTTACCGTATTTGAACTTCCGTGGCCACAAGAGGATTTTTATTCCTTCTTAGATTTGAACCTGGGGCCTCTAGGTACTTTTGACCTTTGGAGCCAAGTTCTAACCAATCAGGCACCACCTTTGTGGTTAAAGTCTGTATACTTTCCGTACTATACTTTCGAGATAGAGATAGATATACCGAGTCATTTGATTCTGGTTGATTTACAACACCATGCATCTATAACTTAATCCATTATTTCATACATTCAAATACATGCTGAAAAAGTTAGCAACATAAGAACAGATACTGCAAGTACTTGACCATCTTCATCAACCAAAACTCATCTCCAATCCTAAATCTCTTCTCGTTTCTATCGTTATTATCGTTGTTTTTTTGAAACACAAAAAACAACTGCAGCCACGGGCGTAATTAGAAAAAGGTAAGACAACGACTTAAAAACAAAACTTTTGCAGATTCGGAAACTGACTCACAATGGCCACCATAGGAGATGGTGGAATGTGCTCCAAAACCGACTGCATATTTTGGTTAAAAAGTGTTCCTACTGCAACAATCCATGTAACTGCATGCTGAAAAGATCAGCTAGAGCGCAACGAACATCCATCTAATCAAATTTAAGGAACCAATTAGTAATAGATGAAAAACGAATTCAAACCACAGTTGGATGGCAAACGGTTACCTGATCACAGCACACGAGCTTCGTGATCAAAGGGTAGAAACTTCTGAGGTGTCTCCTGAATATCTGGTTGTCCATTGAGCACATTCCCTTCAGCACCTAAAAACATCAACATTCTTAACCAATTATGGGTGCACCAAGGCTCCTTGGTTTTGGATCGGTGTCGAAAGGTGTAGAGGTGGACCTAGAAACTTTTTCAAAGTGGTGGAACCCTATGATTATAAAGGACGGAGTTATGGATAGTTTTTATAAAATCATCGTTGATCTGTTGGCTAGTTCCTTTCTTTTTGTATGTGAGATTGTGTTCAAGTCTTTTATCCCAAAAAAATTCAGAAACATAACAACCCTGAAATTAAAAGCTATAAACTAAGAAAATGATAAAAATGAGATTCGAACCGCCGCCTAGAAGGGGAGAAAAGAACGTGCAAACCAACTCTACCAAGGGAAATTTGTGTTATTATTATAGTTTCAAGGAATATACGGTTGCACCTAACAAAAATAATACGGTGGCACGTTTCACGACCCTAGATATCTTTACATTACGACGAATGAATGAAGCAATGACCCATGCCACCATGTGCACCATAGTGGGTCCGCCCCTGGAAAGGTGCACCCAATTTAATTTAATATGTGCTCCTCTAAATTAACAAAAAGTGGTTGCAAGTCTACTACTAGTGTCACTACATGTGGCATTACATGTTGCAAGTTCGATTCCGTCTGAATTTTTTATAAATTTTTGGTAACACCAGCCGAACAGAAGAAAATAACCACTTGATGTTGCAAAAAGATCACTTGTATGTCATTTTTAATCAAACCAAAATTTTTATAATTATTTTTTGTTATATTTTATATTATGTTAATTATTTGTATCCTGCTTGAAATTTTTTCCGGATCCGCCTCTGGTTGGAGATGGCTTTAGGAACTGGGGGTTAGTAATAGAAGTAAAGAAAGAATCTTGACGATGTAGGAAACCAATAAATACCTTAACAACGATTGGCGAACGCAGTTCTAGAACTCGATGAACCTCCATATTGGTATTGTCTCCAATACTCATCTGGAAATCGGATGCTTCTTTGAGTACCTGTCCGCAAAATGACGCAAGCTTTTCTTCTGCATTAGTTTTAACATCTTCATCAAGTGAATCACTTGTTTTAAGCTCTCCATTATGGTTTGAAGTAATTCCCGAAGTTGTCTTGTGTAACGCTTCTAAGTAAATGCAAGTCCCAGTTAATTCCTGTCGAAGAAGATTTAATGGAGGCCTGAACGAAGATAAACTAGTTTGAGTCAGAACGATAAGGTCGATTGTCTTCTGTAAGGCATCTGAATCCGTCCCATGAATATAGCAATGTTTGACTCTAGTTTAAGAAAAGTGTTCTACCATCAGTCAAATGTCTAAATTTTTTTCCATAATGACGTAAAACAGCAAACCAAAACCAATACCATAGAAAATAATAAAGATTAATTTCCTTCCAACGTGTTCGACTATTAGTCAAATGTCTAAAATACCCTTAAAATGGCGACATGATAGACAAATAACCATCGATACTTTATAAAGATGACAATAGGCAAATTGGTACTTTTAATTTTATAAAGAATGTACAGGGTCGTAAATTCACATATGCAAATAGCCAACCTTTCAGGAGGAATGTGTTGCATCCGTAAGCTGAGATTTGTGTACGAATTATATGATGCTGCAAACTCTAACATCGAGAATAAAATTTCAAGAATTGCAATCTTTTGATGACCCTTCAACTTGCTCCAGTATTTTTTCTGCATGTTTAACAGACATGAATAAAACTTCAGATTATAGCTTAGAAACCCCACTTTTTCATAACGGACAATTTTCTATCAAGAGTTACAAATAGCTTATTATCTCATGTCTCAGTTGCATTTCGGTTCATTGTGGCCACATATTAATTTTTGACCAACCCAAAGTTTAAATTAAGAGAGACTTGTAGCACTAGGTGGTTAGATTGTTAAAGTTTTTCCTTTCAATATGTTCAAATCTGAGGTTTGACCCATATATGTTCTTAGTTTCTCTTGTAAAAATTTGTTTGAGATTTCATTTCTCCCTCTTGCACACCATACTAGTGTGCGGACAACCCAAAACTATTACTCCCTCTGTTCCAAAATAAATGTCCACATTTCTATATATGTCTGTCCAAAAATAAGTGTCCACATTCCAATAGAAGTTAGCATGCTCACAATTGAAATTTACATGATTCCATAAGAAAGGTCCTCATTATCCACCTTGCTCTTACCCTATGACTAACATGTTCATCAATCTCTCCATCTTTAGAACAAATCAATCCTAAATAAGAAATATATTCTACCTAACTACCAGATAAGATGTTTCAACAGATTATGTGCTTCTGTATAAACACCACTAAGGATGAGCTTCACACACTCTGTTCTATTGTAGTCTTACTCGAAAATGTTGAGATTCATAAATGTGCCTCTCAACCTCCAACTTTACATTAACACCCTTCCTAGTGTTCTCGGTCAACACTAAATCCATGGGTGAAAAGGATATACCATGGTAGGGGCAGGTTCATTTGAGAACCATGAGAACCGACTATTCATGAATGAATATCATGATCGATATTCATGATGAATATCATAATAATGAAAATGCATGATACTCATGATGAATGGTATTAATGCATATTTAGGAGTATTCATCATGAATAGTTGGTTCTCACGGTTCACAAGATATTTACGGTTCTCAAATGAACTTGCCCCTACGAGGGTATATCTCATTTTGTATATAGGGAGACAGAGTCACGAAAAAGCTTCAATATTAAATAAAAGAGAAACAGAAAACCACAGGTTGAGGGATTTGCAAAGAACTGATTTGATGATCAAGATATCAGACTTGGCCATGATTTTGATCAACCAGCACATTTGCAGCTTTGTTTGGAAAGAACTGATGAGGTCCTAAAGACAAGACCATAAATTGGGGAAAAACTTATTGTTGAGCATATGCAAACATTCAAACGAAAAGCACATACCTGGATCATATCAAGGATCCCTAGTAGTAGCAGTTGAGTTATGCATTTGCTCCTTATTGTTCCCATATATGGACTTTCTACTGCATCTCCAGATTCACGCTCCTCGTCAGGAGACTGTAGATTACAGAAAGAGAACGTTTACACTAAAAAACCGTCCCACAAGATGCGTCCATTTCAAATTTGACCTAGCATTTTGTGAGCATTTAATCTTCATCACGTTTCCATTTTAATAATCTTTGCATAATTAAATTTAATCATAATGTTTTTATGCAAAGAATCTACTTTTGTTGATTAGCGTATCAGTGTGTTAATCGTTTAAAAGAACATTTTCAGAGGTGATTGTGGTCCCATTAAATGAAAAATGGACCACGAAATGGAGAACGGGAAATTGATAAGAATGAATGAAATCATAATTATTTTTCTTGACCACATATGTTTTCCAATCATTTTAAAGGTTTCAAGTTATCCCGGTGCTTTTGAATGCTTCCGCATCAACAAAATCTATGAAATATGAGCAGATCACGATATTGTCATTCCATCAATACAAGTATTTGAAGTCTCTAAGGAAGAAGCTTCAAAAAGATCAGCAAAATTAAATCAGGAGGAACATGGTACCTTGGCTGGGGAAGCTGGTATTATGGCATCTAAAACCGTGTTCTTAGGCTTAGAGGTGAAACTTCTAACAAGGAGGTTGTCCATCATGTTTCCCATTAGTTTTTGACCAATCGTTTGACTACGTCGCAAACTTGCCCCACCTGGAGATTTTTCAACGTTTTCAGATGAAGGAGTTTGACCTGCAAAAAACTGAAAGTCAAATGCTTTCTTTTTACCTTTTCAGGATGAAAATGATCACATCTTTAAGATGGTGATTTGTGGAACTTCTATGGTTATGCTTACCTCCATGTGAACAATATATAAGAAAGGAAAGAAAATAAAAAAAATATATTATTAGAGTTTTAAATAAGACTTGCACGTCATAACCTTCCGATTCATGTGGATCCGCTGATGGTCTATCTTCTTGATTGGCTTTCATCGCCATCAATGATTTTCGATCTGTCAAAAGAGAACTCATTATACACATCCAACAGTATTCCTTTATAATCCCTCCGTTTGAAAAAAAGAGATGCTTAGACATTTCATGGTGCAATCAAGTATAAATCAGAATAGAAGTTACAACCATTGTGCTAGAACATCAAGACCAACAATTTCTTAATCATATTTTTGTAAGAAGGTTTTAACCCCAAGGGTTGACCTAGTGGGTAAGGCTTGGGACATTGGTTCTCAGGTTCAAATCTTAAATGGACTAGATGGAGTAGTAGGACCAAAAGTGTCAGATACCACAATTATTCAATACAAATTTCTGAAAAAATGTTTAATGGGATCAAATGTTCTCCAAAACAAAGATAAATTGTATCAACCTTAAGTGGGAATTAGTTCATTTGACCTCAAAAGTTGAACTCACTTTTTCAGTGGAGCAGAGTAAGCATACACATAAAATTAAGTGGCTCACCACCAGCAGAGACAACCGAGGGACTATCATCTGCTTGAACATTTAAGCTTCCACCCATAACGGAGCGAGTCTTGGTGCTTTCAAGACTCAAAGCATTGAGTAGCTCGAGGGGTTGAGTGGTGTAAGTAGCATCCCTGTTAAGTCAGTATACAAAACACAGAGACATAAACACGCATATAATCTGAGATATGAACAGATTTACCATAAATCACAAGATATAAAACTAGAAAGCAATGATCAACCTTTCCAACTGGAATTTGGTTTTTTTTGTAAAAGAGCAAAAAGAACTCTTACAATTTGCAAGAGTCAACAACTTTGGAGAGATAATGGAATGGTAAATGCAAAAAAGACAATTTTGATCAGCATTTTTAGTTGGTACCAGCACTCTTGCAAAGTGTAGTGTCTGTTACTGTGTTTTTAGCATGAAAAAAATGATGATAAATGTTACTACAAGAAACCAACTACAGTGGTTTTAAAAGTTAATCATCCAAAGACATAATTATAAGCACCTTATGCTCTTCAACAAGGTATCCCAGTCAGCGCCAATGAATTGGTTTCCTCCAACTTCTATAAGATGGACCAATGCACCAAGTGATATGGAGACCACTGACTGATCAGTCTTCTTGGCACAATCTACCAATAAGTTTAGAAGAGGAGACAGCATGAAACATACCTCCTGCAGGACACATGACCTCTCTTTTACAGCTCAGTGGCTCACAAAATTGCAATAAGTTATGCAGAAGGTATGTATCTTGTATATTGATAAATGAATACAGAACATACAAAAAACAGTCGGAGAAGCTACCTTGTAAAATGTGTTAAAGAGGTTACATAACAACTGCAGTGAATGAACACTAGTTTCACGAAGCCATCCATCTCGAGAAGCTGTAGTTTCTTTTCCCGCGTCCCTCACATGATCAAAAATAGGAAAAAGAACTCGGTAGAAAATACTCTCCCAAAATGTCGGTGAGAAATGGCTTCCTCTCTCATTCAACAAATCAAACAAAACCTCCAGTGCGCACTTGCTGACCTCAGGTCGTGGATCAGATGTGAGGTCAGATAAACCAGCCAGCATCGGGAACCAATAATGTTCAGTAACATCGTAAGTTGTATCTACGCTGGTATTAATGGGTTTTAAGCTACCACCTGGTATGAGTCCCTAAAAGAAGACAAGGGGAGCAAATTGTGTTTGTCATGGTAGAAAATAGTTCCTTGAATATTTAAAGCAAAAGAACTTACTAAAACCATGAAAAACACGTTCGACTGTCTGAATAATTAGTTCATGATGTTATGTTTTCTACTTCTTTCCACTCCTCTCCTTTTTATTTTCTTATTTGTGGTACTTCCTTCCTCTGCTTGCATGTCTCCTTTCATCTGTTTCTTGTGTAGTTATTTTCTACCACTCATCGGATATGGCACCCCAAGAGAGTATGATCAACCTGTATTTTCAGGGACTATTTTGATATTGTTGAGTATGACTTTAAATCCACCGCTGCTTTGGCGACTTCATAAGCGACTTCAACATCTCGCTTAGGAAGTTGCATTCACAGGAGAGAACCATCAGATGCAACTTTATGTGCGACATGCTTGGCCTCTCAACTTCTTGCATTCAACTCTCGGTACATAAGAAAGTGAGACTGAACATGACTTTAAGTGTCACTCAGCATGTCAGGCAAGATCGCAGGCAACTTCACGTCTCCTTCAAAGTTGTGTACACCCAGCTTTTAGCTGCGACTTGGAAGTCGCCCTCCAAGCTGCCTAAGGTGCCAGACAGGTTTTATTTCTTGATTTATGTCAATTTGTTAATTATCTTGAATGTATGATATAGCATTCATACCAAAATCACCATTCACGACCTGTAATCACCAAGCTTCAGTTTTTCCTTGCTTGTATGGATTTTATCATCATTTTGTGAAATTCTCGGTAGTGGTCTCCTCCAGCCGTGGTTTTCTTCCGTTCTAGGTTTCCACGTAAATCTCAATGTCACGCTCTATCTCTCCTTAACTTTTGCTATTCTCATCTGATTGCTATGTTGATGATGATTGTTACGCATTGATTGATTGAGAGGTACACTCTATTCCACGTTAGAATCGATGTGGATTTGGCATAGGCGGCTCGATCATCCACATCAGCGTCTTTTTCATTTTATGCTTTCTAGATTTTCTATTCTTGCTACAAATAAGACATTACCTTTTTGTACGTCCTGTCAAATGGGCAAATCATCAAAAAAGTCATTACCTGTTTCTTCCTTTCGATGTAATAAAATTTTAGATTTGGTCTATATTGTGATGTCTGGGGTCATGCACATGTTCTATCTTTTGAAGGTCATCGTTACTTTATGCTATGTGTTGATTATCATTCTCGTTATATATGGATCTATCCATTAGCTCAAAAATCAAATGTTTACAACACCTTCAAAGATTTTCTTACTATGGTCGAAAGACAATTTACTACAAAGATCAAAAACGTTCAAACTGACCGGGGTGGTGAATTTCGAAATCTATCTTCCTTCTTTTCATCTCTTGGCATTGTTCATCGTCGTTCATGTCTTCACACCAGTAAGCAAAATGGCTTCGTGGACCGACACAATCAACATGTCGTTGAAACTGGTCTCACTCTGCTTGCTCAATCCAATGTTCCTCAACGTTTTTGGCATTACGCCTTCGATACCGCTGTATACCTAATCAATCACATGCCTTCACGAACCTCAACAAACAAATCACTGTTTGAACATCTCTTCAAACGATCTCCCAATTACTCCTTTCTTCGGGTCTTCGGTTGTCAATGCTTTCCTCACCTTCGACCGTACAACCATCACAAATTGACTTCCAGTCGACCCCTTGCGTCTTTCTTAGCAGTCCTTTCCATCATGGCTATCATTGTCTTGACCTGTCGACCGAGCGCTTATACATTGCTCGTCATGTTCGCTTCAATGAAGACCACTTCCCCTTTGCTATTCCTACTGTCCCCACTTCCTCACCTACATCATCATGTCCCTACACCTCCTCGATATCACCTCACGTGGTAACCGACAACACTCCACCTGTCGTTCCATCTCCTATAATACCTAATCCACCAGTTCACCACATACTTTCTCGCCCATCTCTCAGTCTTCTCCTGAACCCACTTCCCCTTGCACCATGATCCAGATACCAGTGGTTCATTTCCATTATCATCCACTTCCTCCTCTCTATCACCACCACCGCCTCCGCCTCCTAGACAACGTCCTCCTAACCTCCGGCCCAACCCCAAACAACGGGTTCCCTTCAATCCCTCATCTAATCTTACTACCACCTCCACCATACCTATTGAAGCAATCTCGTTTACCATTGCCAACAAATCTCCTGAGTGGCGTCAAGCTATGATCGAGGAGTACTTCGCTCTTGTTAAAAACGGCACATGGTCTATAGTTCCTCATGCTCATGATACTAATGTTGTTGATTGTGAGTGGGTTTACAGGATAAAACGGGACAAGACATGTGCCATCACTCGTTATAGAGCGAGACTCGTCGCAAAAGGTTTACGGCAACAACATGGCAATGATTTTCACGGAACCTTCAGTCCTGTTGTCAAGACCACTACCATCAGGGTTGTTTTATCGCTTGCGGTCTATCAGAAATGGTCGCTCAGGCAACTTGATGTTCAAAATGCCTTTCTTCATGGCCACCTTACCGAAACAGTCTACATGAAGCAGTCTCCAAGCTTTATTGACCCACAACAATCACATCATGTTTGTCTACTCCACAAGTCCATTTAGGCATTTACGGCCTCAAGTAGGCCCGACGGGCTTGGTTTCACCGCCTTTCCAAGGCTCTTCATATCCTTGGCTTTGTAGGCTCCAAGACTGATCCTTCACTGTTTATTTCCAGTCATGCTGGCACTCTTTTACACATCTTAGTGTATGTTGACGACATCATCATCATCGGAAACAATAATGATGCTATCAACGCCATCGTTCAACAATTGAGCTCAGCTTTTGCGATAAAGAATCTAGGCCCTCTAAACTACTTCTTGGGTATTGAGATCCTCCCTCAAGGACCAGACATCATCCTTTCTCAAAAGAGATACATTTTGGAGCTCTTACAACGAGCAGGCCTCTCAGACTCTAAGCCCATGCCTTCCCCATGACCTCGTCCTGTTCGCTATCTTTAGCTGACAGTCCTGCTCTTTCTCGGCCAGATATCGCTTTTGCAGTTAATAAAGTATATCAGTTCATGCATGCCCTTACTGAATCACATTGGTCTGCAGTCAAACGGATTCTACGCTATCTTCGGAACACTGTTAACTGTGGCTTACTCATTCTTCAGGCATCTACTTTATCTCTCCAAGCCTTATCCAATGCTGATCAGTCTCTCCAAGCCTTCTCTGATGCTAATTCGGCTGGGTGTCTAGATGATCGTCGGTCCACGAGGGGATTTGCCATCTATTTGGGTTCTAACCTTGTATCTTGGACTGCTCGCAAACAACGCACTGTTTCTTGATCCTCTACTGAGTCGGAATACAAAGCTCTGGTTGATACTATAGCTGAACTTACCTGGCTTCAAGCTCTCCTTCGAACTTAGCGTTCATGCCCCATCAGCTCCTATCCTGTGGTGTGACAATCTAGGTGCAACCTATCTATCAGCCAACCCTGTCTTTCATGCACGAATAAAGCATGTGGAAGTTGATTTTCATTTTGTCAAGAAAAGGTTGCTCAAGGAGACCTTCGGTACAATTCATTTCCACAAAACAACAGATTGCTGATATTTTCACGAAGTCGTTGCCGACTCCTAGATTTCTGTTCTTACGATCCAAGCTACAGGCGTTACTCGTCCTTAACTTGTGGGGGAGTATTAGACTGAATGTACTTAGGTGCAATAAGTATAATGTAGAGGGCACTCCTATGTAATTAGTATCTTTATATATAGAGACCGATTGTAATTAGGTTACGCATCAAATCTACACAAAACCCTTGTGGTTTATCTATTTGTGAGATTGATTATTTGGGACTGCTGATTTTTGCCTAGTTTGAGTTTGTGTTGGACATTGATTCTTTGGGATAAAGGTCAATTGGATCACTTACTAGTAACAGATATAGGTCTAAATACTTTGATGATGATTCTTTTGTTAAACTATTTTTCTATTATATGGTGTATATATGTACGTGTATTGACCCAGATTTTAGAATTTATGAAATGTGGAACCCACACCCATTCTATGCTTCCTAGCCTAACAAGTAAAGTTCCCTAGGTGGAGGATATGAAGTGAGATAGGTGGCCATTTCCTCTTGGAAAACAATGTAAATAACTAAAAAACTATAATGAGTACAAAAATACAAACCTCTGCAAGTCGATCCTCACATATGCGGAGAAGTGCAATTGCTTTCAAACTGATATGATGAGAACTTTTACTGTTGGCAAAATTAATGAGGCAATTGACACAGTCCATAAAACAGTCACCGACTACTTGATCAAAGTGCTCCAGTATAACTGCCAATTTCTTTTAATTAGACAGGGTACACCAAAATAAATATTTGTAGTTTTTTTTACAGACAAGTTATATACCCGTACCTTCTTAGAGAGACAACCCTATAATAGGGACTACTTCCTCTGTCAATTGAAAAGCGCAATAATTTCGATTTTGGTAAGTCCCATGAAAATTGCAACATTTTTCAATTTCTCAAAAGTTTTTCAAGTTACAGGTACCTATTTGCCTATTGTCATCACAAAAAATGACCTTTTTTTGTTTGGGTCCACAAGATTCTCTTCTTTTGTTATTATTGAATTGTATTTTAGATATTTGATGAATAGTCAAATACTCTCCCAAAACATGTGATGGAGGGATATAAACATGAATGACCGAAATAAAGCGACGAGTTAAAATACCTTGTTCTACATTTTCAAAAGCACTTTCCACAATTGATTCTAACTCATCATTGGCGGCAGCTGTAAAAACCATGAATACACTTCTCCAACCAGATTTAATGCTTCCAACCTTTGATTTTATCATCTGTTTAAACTAGCATAAGTTAAATGTGCAAATTCCAATGCTATGAAATAGTAGCAACTGCTCTTTCCATTCCAAAAGGCATGCACTTGGACTTATGAAGAGGCCAAACTAAGGAGTTATGAATCAAAACTGATGCAAGTTTTTTTTCACAAACTCAACCTTGTATTTTCCCAACGGCATTGTTGTTTATAGAAAAAAGTTGGTTTTTCTTGTGATTTATTTGAAACAATAGTCCATTGGATCTTAAAAGATAAAAAAATTTATCTATTTTCGTGTAATGGATGCAAACACAAATGTAAACATACCTGAACAATGCAATCAACAATCAATTTTCGAATTGATTCACTCCGACTATTCCGCATCAGGATAACAAATGGTTTCAAGATATCATTCTGGAATGTGAAATTGGCAAGTTCTGCTCGCTCCAAGTATTTTATTCCGAGTTGTGTTAGAGAATCTATGGCATACATTGCAATTTTCTCATCATGATGGCTCCCAGCAGCAATAAAGTGATTAGCAAGGATGGACCATATTCTAGCCCATACCTGGGAATATAAATACTTTCAGTCATAAAAAATAACTGCAACAATACCATTCTTATAAGAACCTACATTTTCATTTTCAAACACCAAGAGTTACAAATGTTGTATATGGAGGCTGGTTTGGATTTTATACTGACAATCAGGATGACAGTTTTTCCACATTATTGAAATTTTGTCTAGGGTTTTCTTATAATAGGAAGGTGGGTTTTCTTCTATGATTATGTGCTACTAAAGTTCACAAGAGAATAACGAATTGTGGATGTAGACGAATTGATGAAGCATGTAAATCTTGTGTTTTCAGTTTCTGAAAGTTACGGTTGTATGTGTGTGATTACTTTATCCACTCAACTAGAACCACCAAGGAAAATATGGCAGTTAATATGTTTAGATCATGGGACATAGAAGATTTCAAAATAATAAAGACATATAGTGTCTTATTACAAACTATACTCCCTTCGTTCCATTACTTGCAACATTGACGTGACACACTGTTCTTTTAAAATGTTTGACTAATCATCAAATATCTAAATTACCCTGATGAATTATGTGGATCAAAGTATAGATTCATTTGTAAAGATGATAATGGACAACTTAGTAATCCTAACTAGAAAACTTCTTAAAAAAGGAGTGTCGCAATTTTCATGGGTTGGAAAGTGTTACCTAGAAGTGTTGCCTATATAATTTCATGTCTAAACCTAGTAAGCCTGCCGGCACATATAGACTGAGCTGATTCAGACAATCAGACCACACATTAGAGAATGATTTATGCTAGTCCCTTTTACCCCAAAAAATGCAACACTTTCATTTTGGGTTGTCCCACGAAATGCAACATTTAAGTTTTTAAACCCATACTTCCCCCTTGTTAATCATTATTTGAAAAACTTAGACTTTGGTCCATTAGCTTTCTTTATGTTGCCTTTATTAAAGCGACAGTTTAGACATTTGATTGTCAGTCAAAACTTTTATTAAAATATGTGCAGCTAGGCTTGCACAAGCTGTTGTGGGCTTGCTGAGGATAACCTAGAGCTGGGTCAATGGACGGGCATCAAAAGTTTTAACCTAGGGTGTTTACATATACACGCATATTCTGAACAGGGTAAAGGAATTATTACCATGCGTATACGAGCCATATTGTAGTAACTGATCTCCATAAGTTTTTGCAAGCTATAAACACGAGCTGGGTTCTGCTTCAATTCTTCAGCTGAGACGTTACAAAGAGCAGTAAAAAATTCCACCACCGATTCACTAGGGAGTTTAACACTGTTTAGAAAAACTTGCTCAGATGGTTTCCCAGCCAACTCTTTAAGAGATTGAATAACCACCTCCTTAGAGATTGGGTTATGTCCATGCATCACAGTAGCAGCAATAGCAGGATTAGATGTGGTATATTCTAGTCGAGATATGCATTCCAGAACCGCATTCCAGGTATCTTGAAGCGTATCGGGCTCTGAGTCACATAGATCCAGCAGAGTCCGTAAGGCTTCAACGTTTTTACCAAGCATATCTCTGGGAGCATGCAAGAAAGTGAATCTGTAACAGCAAACAATGATTCAATTATTCGTTGCCTTCTTGAAAACAGAGTTTAGGCCCACAAAATGAAGAATGGTAGTTAGGTTCTATTTGATTAGGCAATTTAACATTTCAATATTTCCATTGCATCTTACTTCGTATGACAAGAAATGAAGGTATGAATGTGGGTCCCCTTTACTTGATTTGAGGATAACTGAGACCGTGGCTCCCATTTACTTGATGTGGTGAGAATTGAGATGGGGCCCACAAAATGGAAAATGGAGATAGAAAATGGTAATTGGTATATAAATGAATAACAGCAAAACAATACATATTATTAACAACAAAGAGGCAAACTAAACAAACGTATATAAAAGGGAAGTGAAAAAATACAGCCTAGAAACAAATCCGAAAGCAACCAAGATATGATGCAAAGCAGGATTGTACCTGACCAGTGATGTCAAAAAAGCATATCGCATGGTATCCATTCTAAGGACGTGTGTAATGTAAATTCCTGCTTTGAAACCTTCCATACAAACAATTACTCTAGGCTTATGTTCTCTTTCCTCCATCGTTACAGAAAATGTAGCAAGCAAAGGCCACCCTACAGCTTCAACCATCGGTCTTATGAGCTCAATCCGTTGTGACGTATAAAATGTGCCCCTTTTTGCTCCTTGGTTCCTGAAGATTTCCTGTGTTTTTCTAATGATGGCTTCGCTCTCAGACTGTGTGTCAGAGTGACTTCTCAGTTTGGGGAGAGCCAAATTAAGTATACCAACAATGCCACCTTCTGTTTCTGGTTTTTGCCTACTTTCTCCCATACCAACAGTTTCATCCTTCATTTTTATCTCTTCCTTAACGATGGAATCATATACTTCCTCCAAAAGTACTGTTGGTGCACATTCTTCAGGATCATTTGTGGCATTCATTCGCACAAAATCAGCTTTGGACATTTTAGGCCACACCATTGGATTATGAGCATCAGTGTTTAACATTATAACTGCATATGCAAGAACATAAGCAGTATCTGCACTCTTGAAAAGACCTGGATTATCTGCACAGTAACTGCAACAATGGAAACACATTCAAGAAAAATTGCCAACCAGAAAGAAGAACAGGGGTTTGGCTGCATTAGTGAAAAAACATGAGTGCCGGGCTACAGATGCATGACTCATGGAAATGGGTGCATTTTTATGTCTGTTGTATATATAATGAGTCTAAAGTTAAACCAATGAAATAAGATATTAACATTCAAAGCTCTTGTGGTAAATATATAAAAGAATCAGGGCTTTTAGTTTTGCTTGGTGAGCCCACAATACAATCGTCTAAATTATCAACGAAAAAGAATGAGTGTGTCTTTATAACTTGACTCGTTATCTGTGCCCATGACTTCTAAATTTACAATCTGCAAATTTTCATCTCTGTATGTTTCCAAGATTAACTGAAATTTCCCCTCTGGTGTGCCCCTTCTATCCATGGTCAATAAGTTCGGGATGCTGTCAAAATCACACCCCCAAAGCATCTTATACAGAGATTCAGCGACGGGTAAGATTGTTATAACCTCGTTTTTTCTTCTTTCTTCTTTTATAGTGGGTGTTGAGAGAGGATTACAGGAATATTAACTCTCAGAAAAACATATAGAAAACACTTACCGCTCTGCAAATTTTTCCATTATACGATCTATCTTCTGTGCTTCCCCGGGAAGCCTGAAGCCTTTGAGAAATTCACGAATAGCAGTATGAAATTTCATTCCAGAGAATTTCATTGAATCAACATAAGCATGCATTACAGCAAGGGGAAACTCCTCATGTTGACCCAAGTAAGCACCAATCATAGCCTGAACGTCCAGCCACCGAAGCTCTTTAACATCTACTTATATGTGCACCTTAATTTCTTCTTCATGCCGCACATTAATTTTTACAATGTAAGAAGTTGTACCTTGTCCAAACTGGAAGTATTTCTGAGAAATTGTGCAACCGAAGCTGGTGTATTATCAACCAACCTATTTGCTGTGAGAAATCCAATACCCCTTGCAGGATGGCGGTTGAACTGCAATTTATTGATAATATGAAATTAGTCCCTTACAATTTTCAATGATCCAGCCATTTTTCAGGCATGCAGAATCTTGATATCCTCTTAAGTTCGTGTTTCTTAGATACTTGCAATTGTAGATGGCGAGAATGGAGATCCACAGATATGTATATTGCTCTATTCCAGAAAAGATGTGTGCTTGACTTCTGAGGTCAAACTTCATGCTTCTCAAATAGGAAGCACATACATTTATCTGAACAGGTAGCATTTGTAACAAAGCTCAACAGATATCAGATTTTTGTCAAAATCACAAAGAATGTAGAATCACTTTTGAGGTTCAAAAAAGGTCTTTTGACCTCGAGTCAAACTGTTATTTCTTGCTTGATATGAATGGAGAATCAGATACCTCGGAGATGGCTGCTTCCATGGTAGACTTTTGAGCCTTCACTTTCTCAAAGTTATTCGCTAAGCCGTTGCTTTCTTTTGCGTTTGAATCGCCAGATGGAACATCTTCATGAATAGATTGTTCGTCTTTATTCTGTTTTGATTCTCTACGTAACTTCTCCCAATCAACAAGTGATTTTAAGACATTCACGAGGCACTAGAAAGATGGACAAAAGTTAACACCTACACCAAGTACTGCTAAGATCCCACAAAAGAAAAGGAAAAGAATGCAACTCCTCCTATTCCATGCAAATCACAACAGCTTCCTTTCGGGATTATGTACTGATCGCAATATTTCCTTCTTGCAAACATTCAAGCGAAAATTACTCAATACCCCTACTGCCATCATTACAAAAGTATTTCTACTATTACTTTGGTCAACAATATTTACTTTAATTTGAAAATCAATATGCAATTTAGAACCTTTTCATCCTATTGTGTCATTATAAATAGTACTTTCAATATTTTACCAACTGTTATTGTCATTGTTACAAAGCATTTGGGGTAGTGGTTTTTTATCCATAAAAGTAACTTTGAATTGAAAGCTCAAAGGTCATTCAGAATTCCTTCCCCCTATTTTTCCTTCTAAAAGGGTAAATATTTTAGATGTTCGATTAATATCAGCATCATTTCATAATTAGTTTGTAGCATTAATTATTGCAATTTTCATGGAAGGAGGAGTATAATACACACAAACCTGAAGTGACGATCCTTTAAGTGTTCCAGTTTGGATAGTGTTAACAGAGTTAGGATCCAAATCTTGTGTCCCTTGGGCTATTTTGGAAAGAGTCGTAACCTAAATGTGAAGGAAAAAACACAAGAACCACATACACATCCAAGAACAAAGCAAATATGCCGAAGTCGATAAACATACTGAATAATCATACCATTCTTTCAAACGAATTAGGAGCCTCAAGATCACAATCATAGTTCACATATAGATCAATAAGCATCTGAGGATCCTTGCAAATTTTCTCCAGCATCCTGTGGATATTTGTTTGAACTAGAGTATGGAGATATAAGCAAACACAATGTAAGAAGTTCTAATAAATTAATTTAGTAAACCGATGGGACTTGATCTTCTCTATTTAGGGTTTCATATTCAAATTCCGGGTTCCTTAAACAAACACGCCTACTTTTAGTAGGTCACAGAGAGAGGGAGTGAGAGAAGGAGACTCTGAATATTGTAAGCAGAGGTTTTACCGAATCACCATTAATTTGAGGTTCAGTGGACATTCTGAGCTATCCAAAGATCGCAAAACAATCAGAGGAAAGAAGATGCCAATTTCAATCTGAAAAAATGAATGTTAGGCATGTTGATTGCAGCACAAAGAGATGAATACAGCACATTTGTACAAACATGTCTAAATCAGAACAGCTGTAACTTGCCTTAAGGCCTTCCCTGAATCTCAACAAAAGCACCGTGAAGATTCCAGTTGCATACTGCCAGAAACGGATACATATCATTTCCGAAATTCAAGAGAAATTTTTAAATGAACTAAACTAACAATGATGACCGAAGCTTGAAACTTGCCTGAAATATTGCTGGGGATTGTGAAACCGATGCTCTCAATAACGCATATGATAGGTAAGCTTTCACCGAGTCAATGAAATTGAAGTTCTTAGTAAATGAGTGACTAACCCCCTCTAGCAAGCCCTGCAAAATTCATATCTCAGACTATGTATAAGAAAGAGGATGAAGGAATTTATATTTTATGCAAAAAGATAAGCTATCAACTGCTAAAAATAAGCGCCATTCGAAAAGAGCTGCTATAACTAACCTGTAGAAGTTCAAGCGATAGAATCCGTGTCTTTGTGGTAACTGCATCACTATCTTCTTTCATACCCATCTGCAATAGCATGAATCAAATCGAGAATCAAGCTTGAAGCCAATAATCCATAACAAGTCGATACCAAGAAATGCAAACCTTGCAAAGGGTGCGGAAAACGAGTAATGCATCACGTTCTACAATGCTCAAGCTCTCAGGATCAAACCCGCTTAAGAATATAAAGTTTGAAGCATAAAGTAGAAGTCAATATGTTATTATTGTAACAATATATATATATATATATATATATGAAACTTTTCAGGTAGCAACATATATATACCTAGGCTTTCCATCATCTTCAAGTTGCACAGCCTTGTCAAGAGCTGCCTCCAAGCCCTGTAAAACAAAAAGGTCAACCATCTTGGTCTTGATTGATCACATAGCATAAGAAACTCATGTTCACAAGATGAGAATTTAAAGAATAAATGATTAAGCACCTTTATGTCGTTCCCACCGGCAAGATTCTGAAGTTCTTCAAGAGATGCAATAGAAGTGCTGTTGGCGGTGGGAGTCAGCATTTGACCATCGTCATCAGCTGATGAAATTTCTTCAATTTTCATGGATGAATCATTTCTTTTATTTACAGGTGGACCATCTGAAGACACCTAAAATGCAAGAAGTATGGTATTGAAATTACTAAAATATAGTGGAATCAACTAATCCTTTTAACATGTGTAAACACGTAGTTCTAGATGACAAACCGAGTCAGTGTCCATTCGCCTGAATACTATGCTGATCATTTGAGTTAACATAGCCTTGGATGTAGCTTGGTTGATAGGGCTTTTACTAAGCATCAAAATGAGAGATTATCAATTCAATTTGCCAAAGTGAAATAAAAATTAAGATATAAATTAATAGCTACCTGTTAAGAGCAATATTATAGCACACTCTAATTACCCCCAGCAATGGTTCCCCGTGAACTGCATATATGGCCGTTAGAGAGAAAATAATGAGAACCATGCAAGCAAAGGGCACTACACTAAGAGAAACCAACTATATCTCAAGCATAATCAACTAGGATGATTGTACCAGAACTCAAAGAGTTCAAGTATGTTGTGCATATCTCATGTCATATGATCAAGTTTGAGGACATTTTGTTTGTTAGAGTTCCAAAATATTGGCATGTTCATGTGAAAAACATTCTTCCGGTATCCTCTGTCATTGAGCTAACTTATATTTTTTGTGCTTCTTTGATAGATTCTAGTGAGTTACAAAAGGTGGCCATTAAGATGACCAGTAGCGTTTTACATTTATCTTTTGGTTATACCTTGTCAAAAAACCACCATTACAAAAACAAAACCATAACATTACCCAGATAAAGAACCACCATCAGAACTCAAAAGAAAACCATACCATTACCCAAAACACTCTCAATATTTTTCAGCAACATATAAAAAAACTAAAAACGAACCATGCACTGATAAAACCAAAGTTCTCAAGTCTTAACCATCTCCATACTTTATAAAAGTTGCCACCAGAAAACTCTCTACAAAACAAAATCACCATTCTTAACATCTTTAGCTTCATTTGGAACATCCTTCAAAAAACCATCTTCTCCAACATCCAAGCAACAACTTCGGGAGCCACATTCACCAAAATTTTCAATTACTCAAGTCATGCCTATTTTCACATCTTCATTGCTATACCTCCACCCCTTTGGTAATTTAAGGCAACGTTGAAAAATTACTAAAGGGGAGGAGGTATAAGAGTGAAGATGTGAAAATACGGATGGCTCGTGGAATTTTAGAAATGATGGTGAATGTGGCTCCCCATGTTGTCTCTCGGGACACTGGAGAAGATGGTTTTCTGAAGGATGTTCCTAATGAAGCTAGAGATGTTAAGAATGATGATTTTGTTTTCAGAGAGTTTCATGGTGGCAAATTTTAGAAAGTATGGCAAACTTTGGAGAGGTTTTGTTTTATTTGAGCATTTTTCATTTAGTACTTTTCTATGTTATTGAAATCTTCGAGTTTTCTAGGTAATGGTTATGATATGGTTTTGTTTTGTATTTCTAAGTTCTAATGATGATTCTTTATCTGGGGAATGTTACGGTTTTGTTTTTCACTAATTTGAATTCTAATTGTGGTTCTTTGACAAGGTATAACCAAAAGATGAATGTAAAAACTACTGATCATCTTAACGGCGACCTTATGTTGAAACTTCTAACAGAAGATCTGGAATTAATTTACCAACTGTTCTTTGAGTGGAAGAAGGGCAAGAGCAGAGCATTTTCAGGGGCTAGCCTCTTTCTTCTTATTTGACTTCCAACTCAATACTTGTAAAAATCTGAGCATGTAATATGTACTCCCTCCGTCCATGAAAACCACAACAATTTCCTTTTCAGGATCAAAAAAATTGTAGAATTTCCTTCTAGGAAAGCCTTCATGTTAAAAATTGCATGTATGTCTATTATCATTATTTAAATATGTAACAACCTGCGTTAAATTGAATAAACAGAAAAAAGGGGATATAAATTATTAGTAAAAGAACTAAAAACAAAAAAGGGAGCTCGAAAAAGGGGCCATTAGTGGCAGATGATAAGGGGTTTTACATTGGCATGTGGTGTTTGGGAGGAGGCCATATCAAGTGGTGGGTCACTTAGTTTCAGCTCCTCAACTCTTGTATAAATAGGCAGCCTCGTTTCTTTGTCTTCTTTACTTGCAAACTCCAGCAGAAAATTCTTATCACACACCCACCCATTTTGTAAGGAAGAGGAAGAGAGTAAGAACCAAGAAGAGAAGCTTAGAAGCTAAGGAAGAAAAGAACTGCAGAAAGTAAGTCTTAAATAGCCAATCAGCAAGGTGATTACAATTCTGTTCTGGTTTGATTTCAAACCTGTGATACTTTCTTGAAATTGTTGATTGTCACTTATGTTGTTTCAAGAATCATGCCTTGTACATGTTAAAATAAAGATTGTATTCATGACTCATGTATCATATGTAAAATTGACGTAATTAAGATCACCGGTTAATTGTACTACCAAGAAAAGAGAACCGATGACTTTTCATGGAAAGACGGTTAAAAAGAAGTTAATATATCACCAAGGCGGTAAAAGTGGCAGGGGTGTGAAAACAATCCTGGACCCTTGATGAAGGGCTCCAAATTAATACCGGTTTATATTATATGGTCTAGGTATTAGATTGTGTCTTAGTATATGTGTATTAGAAGATTAGATTGTGTATTAGAAGATTAGATTGTGTATTGTAACTACGATCCATCGAAATGGTTTTATATTAATAAAATTATGTTTTGACTTAGATTGTTTCCGCTTTACTTAAATATGTTTTTTGTATTCACTTATGAATGGTTATGAAAAAAAAAAAGTTTGTAACACCTGTCGCTTGGTCTTGGTTTAGAGATGAAAACAAGGGTTGTTACAACAAATAAATTGATTGTTTTCATTTGGCTCCACAAGATTTCTTTATTTTGTCTTCATGCATTTTAGATATTTAACAAATAATCAAACAACTTCTTTAAACTATTTGTCAAATCAAATGTTGCAATTTTTGTCACATGGAGAGAGTAATGCATATGCTATAGTGGTTGGGAAGAATTCTTAGTTATTGTCTTTGATATGTTATTTTGTAAGGTGTGTTAAATTTGATAGGCAATTTTTCATATTGGTTTTTACCATTTCTTTCTTTGTCATGTGTTTTTTACATGTTTTAAACCCAGATCATTTATCAAACCAAAAAAAATTAACAACCGGATGGGTTATCAGGTCAACCATGGGGAACTACTATTGACCACATCGAAGTATGTAGAAAAATATTCTATCATAAGAATGATATGTTCGTTTAATTAAATAGCCAAACAGCACATAAATTTGGAAAATGTCAACAAAGTAACAGAAAAAGATTGTACCAGATATGTTTACAATTTAACTTGGTAATGTATGAAACACACAGACTCAAAGACACAACTTATTTACAAAAGCCAAGTGTTTTTAAGAGACAGTAGTAGTAAACACAGAAAGAAAAAGCATTTCAAAAATAGGGGTAGAAGAACATTATGTATAACTTTTGTACTCCAATCGGTTTTAACAAAGATTGGGGTATGAGGATTTACATAGTCCAGTTTCTTTGTGGGTGGAGGGTCATCCAGGTCAGGTCTTTAGACATGCTTTCTCTTTCTCAATGTCCTACCCCCCCCCCCCCATCTAACCTCTAGATTATTTTGTAACGTCTTATATCCTACCAGAGAAAAGGTAAGAGGTGGCAGTGCATGATTCCTCTTTAAGTATCAGTATTCAAAAACAAACATCTAACAATAGTAGTAATAGAAATCAAAAGAACAACAACAAAGCCCCTTTAAGCATTTAAATTACCTCTGAATTTGGTGGATGATACAGCAGTAAGTAGCACTTTCAAGACTTGAAGAATTGTACTGCATGAATGACCTCAGAAGTTAACGTAAAAAATGGAACCGGTGGGAGACTTCTTCAAGAAAATCAAAAAGATTGAATAAAAAGAGAACGAAAGGGAAAACATGTATCAAAGAATGTACCTGTCGGGTGAGTTATTATCAATACAACTGCAGACCATGTTTAATATGTCTGTGAAGAGCGGAACGTTTTTACCATTTTCCAGACCAGGATCACCCTCCAGATGGTCGTAGGCAATGAGTTTCTGCACTTATGATATGTTTATTTGAAATAAGCTTACAAACACACATCTTGTTTCATCTCAAATACACTAATCACAACTTCCAGAAACTATTTGTGTGATATAAACACAAATGAGTACAAGATGTAAAAAACTTTTTAACTTTTTGAAACAAAATTGTTAAGCAATATAAATCTATAAGATTCTGTAGTTAGAGCTGCACAACCAAACAAAAATTGACATACATGAATACAATCCAATGCGAGTTCAATGACTTTTGGATTCTTGGTTTCAAATGCAAGTCGAAGTGGATTAAGGACGAGTTCCAACTGAGCTCCTTCCAAAGAATGGCCAGCATTTGCCAACATCTTCGTGATTCCTCCACCTGAGGCTGCCGCTTCAGTTCTTGCAGTCCCATCATCACTGCGACAAAGCTCCATTTTGATAAATTAAGCCAACGTTAATTAAGTTTGGTTACAAGATCTCTCCCTCTCAAGAAATAGCTATGTTAAGCCTCATTGCATGCCTAATCTTATGTATATCTTCACAAGATTTATCCGTTTATATTCTCAATTTTATGGTGAATACAATCATAAGTGTTTTTACTCCGTCTACTTATCCTTAGTTTATTTTTTTAGCAATAAGAAATATATGATGTTGACAAATGAGACATGCAAGGTGTCCAGAATTGGAGGTTTAGATTAGCTTTGGAATCTGAAGGTTTTAATTAAGTTGAAACAAAAGAGATTTATGATAGACGACTTCAACAGTGTTGATAGGGAAGTGGGTAAACAAGTGGGCGTAGTTGGACAAGTAGTAGTTAACAAGGATATCGTTCGTTATTAGGGTTCAACTTTATATAAAGACAGATTCATGGGGCATTGAACTTCTTGCTGGCGATAGCAGCAAGCCAGAAAGAAGTTCTTACCTGCGGATTTAACTTCTTGTTGGCGATAGGAAGCACTCCCACCTTTATTTTTTTATTTTTTTTGGGGGGGGGGGGGGGGGGGAATAATTATTTGATCAGTATGTCTCTTGTTTCTCTTCCTATTAAAATATCTTCAATTTATATTTTTACACAAGTCTTTTTTTCATTATATGTGGCATACCACTTCTACCAGGAGTAGCTTTTTTAGTGGTATCTCGCTCATGGCTCGGAACCAGGAAAGAGGCCTTCTTCGCCTTCCATCAATTAATTAAAGTAAAAAGTAAAGACCCAATATTTGTCAATATTTGTGTTACATGTTCCCATGGAAGCTGAAAGATATAGCAAATATATGAAAGAATCAGAGCAGATTGGGGTTGCACCTGGCCGGGAGAAGCTAAGGTAACACTGTTTCAGATGGATTGGTCATCTCCAACATAGACCTCCAAAATGTACAAGAGGTCATTCAGAAAAATAGAGGTCATTCGGCAAGATATTGATTCCATTAACGAACCAAACAAGATTACATCCCTAGTCCTATCTATCCACCTCTCCAGACACAATATCTTCTGAAAGGTGAAACTAAACCCTTACACTACTGTCCACAAATTTTACCAAAACCATTCAACTTCTTGTTTCTTTAATAATTCTTTTGTTCTGATTTTTGCATAATAATTCACTTAATCTCATTACAAAGTTTTCTAGTGTTCGGTGTGATAGACCGTTACTACCCTATGATCTCTATGGATGGCATTCAATCTATTAACCTTATTCCTTGAACGATTGATCCACTTGCTAATGTTATCCAGCGGGGATCAAGGTCATAGTCTAATCCAGGATAACTTACATCGAAATTTATCCAAAATTTACATATTTGCACTTTTTTCGTAGGATACCTCCCAATTCCTGCAAAGTCCATAGATTTTACAATCTTACAATTAAAAGGGCAATCCTACTACATTTAAACTACAGTCTCTGTGTAAATGTGCCTCTATTGCACTCTCATACCACATGACTTTGTTCCACATAGCATACTTGTGAAACCCCTCCGAATGACTTAAGGTTGTACCTGACCACATATGCAAACTCAGATGAGGTCAAATATCGATAGGAACTGGTGAATTGACGGTGCAAATTGCCAAAAGGACGTTATTATACAGTTCTAAGAACATTTGAAATCATGTATCTAATGAGCTCAGTTGGACCACTTACACACACCAACTCTCTTAGGAAGATGCAAAACCCTTAGATATTTCAGAACTAATTTAAAAGAACTCAAGTTAAGTTTATCATAGACTTGGAATGCATGACCAGAAAGCTTCTCCCCTTCTTGGTACAATCTCTAATTTTCCCTCTTTCACCATGTTTCTATCAGTCTTTTTCTTTTTCTTTTTTTTGACAAAATTATAAGTTTGCATATAGTGATAAGCTATAAATGCCTTTATATGTCTTCAATTTACTTTTCTTCGAAAATTTGCAGATCTTTAAGTGATCATATTGAATCCTTGTAAGTGTAGTTGCAACTGTTGGTCAACAATTACCAATCAAATATATACTAAAAGATACTCAAATATAACTTTTAGTACTATTGGTGTATATTTTATATTATGACGATGCTCTGGTTTGTCCATTGGTGTTGCGGTGATGAGTTGTTGTGGTAGTGGTAGTAATAGTGGACTTGGGGATAGATGAAGATGAGAGAAACTGATTATGTAGCAACCTTTTTCCTCCAAGTTCTGAAACGTTAAGACTTCAATGATTTCTTTCTATATACAAAAAAGTAGGTGATAAATGAAAATAAATATAGATTCCGATAGAGTCACCGCTCGCGTTTGATTCCTTTTGAGAATCTTGACATTTGACTTGGTCCTGGAACACGAAACATTGCCAAGAAACCAAAAGATCCCAACAATCTTAGAGCATTTCCAACAGCTACGCTAAAATAGAGAAAAGAGGAGAGAGATTGTAAAAAAATCTCTAAATTTAGAGAAATCTCTAAAACTCTATAGAAGAGAGAGAAACAATATTTTAACTATATCCAACCAATTGAATTTATTGAAGTTAAATGTGTAGGAGAGAGAAATAATATTTTATTAAATGTATTGAATGTTTTATTAATATATTTAATGTTGGGATTACTAAAATAGAGTAGCTGTTGGAGTTGGATATAAAATGTTTTAGAGATTTTGACGTTTCATACTCTATTATAGAAAAATTATAGCATAGATGTTGGAGATGCTCTTAATTTCCTACAAAACCCTGCAGTGGTACCCTTCTCAAGCCTCTAGAATATGTAAGCATTAATGCTAAAACAGTTCAACTGTAAAGGAGGCATACTCGCAAAACCTTGGTGTCTAAAAGATGCTCCCTTTGTCCCAAGTTAAATAAACCAAAAACCTATGAGTCAAGTGACTGCTTAACCCTTAAATATTTTTCTTTCTTTTAGTTGTTGATTCATGTGTCTTAAATAAAATTAGACTAAAGATCCAATTTTCTTTTGGAAAGTTTCATCTTCAATCAGTATTTATAGCAAATGCAAATTAAAGGATATTTTACCAAATATAACCCTAAAATTCTTATTGTTCCATTCAAACATGATCTTAAAAGAGTTGGTTATGAAATATTTTTTAAACCCAAATGAAGAACATTCTTTTGAAAATATGCAAAGACAACATATTATTGGCGTATTTGCAATAATGAATACGTCATAGTGAGAACAAACGTCCTCAGTTTTATGTTTTACCATTAAAGGTTGATTTCTTATGGAATAGGAGAGAATATATCATAAACTACAAGTCATGCTAAAGTGTGCAAGCGTCTCAAGATATGTATATCCTTCTTGGCTTCTTTTAGATTGTTTTTTGATAAATTTACATTGTTGTCATGTTTCCAATAGATGTGTGCCAATATCATTCTACATACTGAAATCATAAGTTGGTTACTTGATCTAATCACTCATTGATTAGTTTTCCAGCCACTCGGTACTCCTACTCAATCTAGAGTTTGAAGTCTATAATCATGATTTCGTGTACAAGCATACATACATGCACACAAAAGAATAGAGAGTGACAGAAGGACTATCAGCAAGTAGTTGCAGCCTGAGTTTGGCACTAAAAAGTTATAATAAATAAAAAGAGAGCATGCAAGAGTTATAATATAAAGTAACCACCTCTTATCTTTACTTAAGGAGGTCGTTTTATTGTTATTATTTGATGCTGCCTCTTGATTGGCCGCTTTTGCACTATCTGGAAAAGCAGGAGGAACCAGGAATAAATGTCTGTTTAATGCAAGGAAGTGAGAGCATGGAAGAGTATCAAAATTTTCAAGAATGTACAAGGCCAAACACAAGTAACATTATGTAAAGCCTTTAAATCTCAATAACCCTCTACAAGAATATGTCCAAAATACCAGATTGTGCTCTATAGAATACTTTTCCAGCTACATTCTCAATACACGAATATTCTTTTGGTGCCAATTTGTTGCATGTTGCATCAGACTTTAGGATTTATAACATTAGTTTTGTGTCAGTGATGTTACCGTCATGACTTATCATCAATATCCAGATCAAAATTTTTGGTCATGGAAAGATTCATGGACCAATGAACTATTTGTATTTCCTTCGATAAGATGAGACAAAGGAGTGCAAAAATTCAATGATCAACATCTCCATCTACACTCCTGTGACTCGGTGTTATTATAAAAACTGTATGTTTAGTATATCGTATAGATTTGATGATTGACAGCAACATCTGTAAAACATGTAGTTTATTTGTGTTAGAAGAAAAGAACACTCACCGATCATCTGATCAAGTCAGTGAGTAAAGGTGAGAAGAAAACCCAGGGACCAGTCAATTGAAAAACAAGGAAAAGAGATCGAGGACTGAGCTGCCAATGAAGAAAGCCAGTTGCAAGACGACCAAGCAACTAGTTTAGAAAAGTCGGTCTCAGTGGATCTCGACAACTGAAGATGACTTTGACAGGTTGTGAGTATTCAGTTGTCAGGAAGTCTGAATTTGTCTGACACAGACTGTTTGACTCGTTGCCTTAATCCCCTTGACTCAAAAGGACTGTCAGACTCAGTACACAGTAATGACTGATCACAAAGTAAACGCCGCAAATTGGACAAGAAACATTAAAGTAACAGTGCAAACATCCTGCAACCAAGACAGAAAGAGTTGCAGGAAGATCGTTCAAGGACGATTTCCTGATCGTGGCGCTGAGACCCAACGAACTTCCAGCACATGACACATCTGCTTCTCCTCCTGAGTATAAATAGCAGACTGAAGACATCGAGCAAAGTTCCTGTTGTATGCCTACCGTAATGAGTCTCAACTAAGTGTGTCTATGCCTCAAAGTCTGAAGTTCACAAGTTCTCATGCTTACAAAGAATCTCTTGTCTCTACTGTGTTTCTCCTGGGTAGTTACCATTTAGTGTTGAATGAGTGTATATTTTAAGAGAAATGGTGTTTCTTAATCTGTCAAAAACTTTAGACCTGTATATCAACCTGTTTGATTTAAGATTTATGTTGATATTGACTTGTAAAGTTTATTAATAAGAAATACTTACTCCAACAACATAATCTTTCATGATAAGTAAAGAGAAGGCAAATCCCTAAAATAGGAAGAGGAAAGCTAATCACTCTCCTAAATGGCTTGTAATTTTTTCCGATACAGGAGAATCCAAAAACAATGTGCAACCTAACAACAACAAAGAAATTAAAATGCATGCTTGTCAAAAATGGTTGTCCTACCTGCTATATCTCACTATGAAAAGATTTTGGTTGATTCTATCAACTATAAGGATACAAATTAGATTACTTCGTGGAAGCCTAGGACCTCTCATATCCTCTCTCTTGCTTCCAATAAGGAGTGCCCATGCATATGTGGGTGGCTCCAACAGTTTTTGTGACTTGAGAATATGATCTAAATGGTTCCAGCCTTGCAAAAACGTAGTTTGCCTCAATTTTTAGCTCATTTGTTGCCACAAAATCTCCTTTTCAGCAAAAAGTGCAAGAAACGGTCCCATACTACTGTTTTGTCTTTGCCCTCTTGTTATTGATTAAATGTTTGTTGGAGGAATTTGATAATAGAGAGAAACAGCAAGTATATAGCTTGGATAAACCTGAGATCGCATGAAAGCTCGCTTTCCTTGAGTTATATTTCGATTTCTGACCCAAATCTACCAGGGTATCACGAAATTAACTCAAGGATAATCTCAACTTTTAAGTAATTTCTGAACTTAAAGAATCGTGACCGCTCCTAACACCCCATTAAATGGAAATGATTGTTGGAGTAGTTAGTGAGTGGCTAACTACACAGCAGGTACAAACTGCTTACATGGATCAAAAGGCAATTCAAAAGTACTTTAGAGCCAGAAGCTCCTCAGAGTTAGAAGTCTCCGGGTCAAAAGCCTCTAAAGCCAAGGGCACTCCCCCTTGACCCCACCATATGGCACCATCCAGCAATCCCGGGTTATAATTAGCTCATTCAAGTGTAGACATGGCCAAAAACCGGTCTCAGGCAGGGCCGAAATAGTGTCCATCCGGTATCGCAAACATTGAGGCCCAGTTAAGGGGCATTGTAACCGAGTAGGGTAACCGTCCCAATCCCGGTAAGGCCGAGCCCAAATCAGTCCTTACATTCAAATTATATTATTAAAAAAATACACTTGTTCACCATCGGAATCCCATGTCGGATTGATTTGAAGAGTTCTGGTAGCTTGAATTCTTCTAATAGCCTCTTGGTTTGATGCATCATGTTGTTTACCGGCCATTTTGGAAGATAAAGAGAGAAAGAAATGAGAATTGAGAAGTGGAAGCGAGAAATGAATACGAGCCAAAATCACAAAATATAGCGAGAATTGTGGAAAAAAAATTGCGGTTTTTGCGTTTTGTAAGTTGGTATCTTACCCCATACACCATAACACTTATATATAGTGTTTAGGGGGCCAAGATGACAAAAAAAGCCCATACAACCTTGGTCAACAGTCAAATAAGGGGTCAAATTTTGAATTTATGGGCCGGGCCGGGCCGGTCCCTCGAAAAGTTCAAAAACTCCAACTGATCCCGAACCGCAGTCCCATGACCGGTCCTGGGCCAGGCCGGTCCTTTTGCCGATCCCGGTTCCGGTCTTTCAACGGTCCCGAGCCGAGCCAGGCCGGTTTGGCTATGTCTACACAAGTGCGCAAACCACACCACCTAGCTGGGGGTGGCAAAAAATGACCCAACCCCAACCCAACCCAACCCAGAATTAGCAGGTTGGGTTGAGATTTTCAACTCATTTAAATAAATGGGTCAACCCGCCTAACCCATTTAAATAAATGGTTGGGTTGAATTTTTAACCTGTTTCCAACCCATTTAAAATATTATATAATTTTATTTTATTCTTAACATTATATCTAGTATTCTAATTTTTAATTTCGTTTTATTCTTAATTAAAAATCCTACCGTCGTGAGATGAAAGTCCAAATTCCAATCGCCTCCATTACTTTTAATCATCATGAAACCCTAAGAAAATATTTTAGTCCATTACTCCATTTTCGCCACCAAAGTCCATTCAACTCTTCAAGTCTGTTGTCCGCCTCTCGCCCTCTCGATCTCTCAATCTCGGCTCTCTCTCCGTGCAGCGTTTTTCTTCCTCTCGGCTCTCTCTCCCTCCACCATTTGTCTAATTGTCTCCCTCTAGGTTCTCTCCGTCCAGGCGACCAACATTAGTGACTCAACAGGCTCTCCGAGTCTCCACCAGACATCTATCTCCAGTACTTTTTTTCCTATTTAAAATTTTAAAATTAAATGGGTCAACTCAGGTTCAACCCATTTATTTAACATGTTGGGTTAGAAAATCGTAAACAGGTCAACCCGTTGTCAACCCATTTAGGTAACAGGTTTGGTTGGGTTGAAAAATCTCAACCTATTTAATTAAATGGGTTGGATTGGGTTGAGATTTTCAACCTGTTTAATAAATGGGTTGAACCCGAACCCAACACAATCCAACCCATTGCCACCCGCACTCCTAGCCCATGGTATAGCTTAACTACCAACCCCATATCTCTTCATCTCTTGTGAATCCAATTACAGAAAATGAACCAATGACTTCACTAAAATCACTGACAATGTTAGTGTTTAACTGCATATGGCCCGTAATTCAAACCTTTGCTATACTTATGGGATCATTTTGTCTACTTCAGCCTATATAGAATATTGGCCCATGTATTGTAATGATCAGTTTTTATAATATGAAACTTCAACAGAGAGCATCCTCTATTTTCCTGAAATCTTCATCTTCTTTTGCATATTAAATGTTCCCTTTTCTCTTGATCTTGGTGGAGTCATCTTATTTTGAAGACTAGCATTGTGGGTTCTTTATCCTTGACTAATTTTGTGTTTTACAATCTCAGATCAGCAACTTCATCATCAAATAGCTAAGAAATCCAATACGTTGAAGAAAACACTAAATTCCAAAATAGAGGCATGGGTATTTCGAAGAAATCAAAGAGATCAACAACAACAAAAAAACACAAACCTAGATAAGCTCGGATTGCAGTCTGTATAGAATTATGCTTTTTCCCAGAACATTCTTTGAGCATTGATTCAAATGCCCGGGTAACAAACCCTCCGGCAGCACCTCCGGCCATTTTGAACGCTGTGGATTTTCAAGCAATGTGAGGTGGGTAAGTTGAGAGGTCTGAATGAAAAGATCATGAGTGGGGATCACTCTCTCATGCTGTGAGATCCGATTCTTGTTCATGGTGGAACAAATCAAAAACTAAAAGAGTGAATCACAAACGTTCCCCTTCCTGTTAATTTGCAGTTTTGGTTGTTTCCATATTTATTCTGCCTTACATGGAATTTATAGCTTCTAAACATATTCAAGAAATAAGCAAACGACAATAATCATCCCTATAATTATACCTAAATTACACAAATCTTCCTCTATCAAATTTTTAGTGCATGTTAGTCCTTCAGCTTTTAATTTCATACCAGTGTAGTCCTTTAGTCTCGTTACATCATAAGTTAAAAAATTATAAAGCATTTGACAAAAACTCTTAAAAACCATTTTTTATGCATGAAGTACTGTATATTAATGCAAATTACTTAAAATTCAAGATTACAAATAAATTATGCATAAGTACAACTTATTAAAGTTCCATTTTTTAATTCATGTAACTAACTGCGGATAAACATAATCAAATAGAGAATAAACATCTCATTTTGAAATATAAAAAATTAAAAATATAATTGAAATAATTATTGAGTTCTAACAAAATAATTAACTATTATCTTTATAAGTAAATTATATTACTAAACCAAATATAAATTACTTTGTTATTGAACTTAAATTAAATTATAATTAAAAATTTTGAATTAAAAAATTACATAAAAAATGAGAAATTTTAAATAATTAATTTGATACTAATATCGATATAATTTTGTCAAATTTTTATAATATTTTCAAATTTATATTTTATTCAAAAATAAAAACATCATCGTTTTTTTTCAAAATCACATAAGACCATATTATAACATCAATTGAGATAAAGAATAAAATAAATATTAAAATCAAGATGAATCTCGCTGCATTGCACGAGTACACTTCTACTAAGTTAAAAATATATCTACCAAGGGGTCTGATCAAATGAGAACCCCATAAATATATGAAAACCTTCAAAACAGGTGTCTCATATGCTATTTCATTTTTTTTCATCTAATACTAGAATTAAATATATTAATTAACATATATTTATTTCACAATGTGTTTGTTTGGCATCTATATATTTCACAATGTGAATTTTTTTGTTGTGTTTGTGAAACAAAAAGCGCATGTAAAAAAATTTCACATTGCAAACTGCATACATATACAACAAATATATGTTAATCAACAGATTAAATACTACATTTGATGGAAAAATTTATGTAAAACAATACCTTGAAGTAAAAAAATTCACGGTTATCACAATATATGGGTAAATATGTCTTTTTGAATATCGATTTTAGCAAGAAGGGTTTTACACATCAATGAGCATTAATGTCAAAAATAATGTTCATTTTAGATGGATATAATTGATAAATGTTAAATAACGTTTCTATCTAAAGAATTTACCATTTAGGCATGGCAACGGGGCGGGGATGGGGCGGGTTTTGTAATCCCCGGCCCCGGCCCTGGTTTGTAATACCGTCCCCCGGCCCCGGCCCCGGCCCCGGTCCTCGGCGGGTACGGGGATTATCATCTCGTCCCCGGTCAAATTCTAGCAATCCCCGGTCAAAACCCGGTAAAAAGTATGCTTTAGTTTGATTATACCGGGATCCCCGTCCCCGACTCCGGCCCCGTTTTGAGTAACATTCCCCGTCCCCGTTTGAGTCTACCGGGGATCCCCGGCCCGGGACCCGTTTTAGTGGGGAATCCCCGTCCCCATTCGGGTCGGATGAACCGGGTTCCCCACCGGGTCGGGGAAAATCACCATCCCTAATACCATTTGGGCTCAACAGTCAATTATTGATCAAATGTTTTAAATATCTTTTAATACGAATGAAAACAACAGATAAATATCAAAATAAATATTAATTTCAAGTAACTATTATTAAACTGGCAAAAGAATTGTAGCGTTATGTCTTTTTTTTTTTGGCAAAGAGTATAATGTTTTATAAACACATTAAGTACTTATATCATCTACGCGATACTCGTACCAAGTGACTGCACAAAACAGTTTGGACATTTCATTGGGTGCGATCTCGAGCTCATGTTTGTGTGCGACTTCGCTGAGCTCCCGTTCAAGGCGTGTATCTTGTTGATCGAGCCCGTGTATACACAACAATGATTTTATCCAACAATACATCATTTTAATTGTTTTTTCTTGCCTTCTAACCTTACGAACATGCAAGATCCATAATTTAGCACGTATAAGTTACATGATTGCCGACTTTTCATTCTTGAATTCAAACATCTAACCACTGATAATAACCTTTTCGTGTGTTAGAGCACCTTCATGCTAAGTTTTTAATTTTATGACTTCATATTCATTCGAGTTCATTGCTACATCATATTTGAAGTCTAACCAGTACGTGCTCTTAATAATACATTTTCCTGATATATATATATATGTATGTATGTATGTATGTATGTATGTATGTATGTATGTATGTATGTATGTATGTATGTATGTATGTATGTATGTATGTACGTATGTATGTATG